AAGGATGTGAAGGCTACGTTGGATGCTATCCGGGAGGCAGGTCTTACTTGCCATCCGAAGAAATGCAACTTCGGGAACACAAGGGTGAAGTACTTGGGATTTGAGATCCAAGGGGGGAAGCTGGGAATTCAGCAGGCGAAGGTGGAAGTTCTGGATAGAGTCCCACGGCCGAAAGACAGGAGCACGCTAAGGGCAGTGCTAGGATTCCTCAGTTACTATTGTAAGTTCATACCAAACTTCAGCAAGACAGCCGCGGCGTTGAATCGGCTGCTAAGGGAAGACCAGAAATGGGAATGGGGGGAGGAGGAGCAGGGGGCACTACAGGCGCTGCTGAAAGCCGTGAAAACGGCTACCCTGCTGACATTACCCAACAAGGAAGACCCGTTCGTTCTGTATACGGAATGGAGTAGCGCGGGTATGGGGGCGATCCTATGCCAAAAGAGGGAGGGAGAAGAGAAGGTTGTGACCTTCGCCAGCCGGAGTTGCAATCCAGCGGAGGCTAACTATAGCTCATATGAAGGTCGGCGGTGTGGGCGATTACCCACTTCTGAGTGTACCTGCAGGGGAGGCAGTTCGAGCTCGTGACAGATCACCAACCGCTGACCTAGCTGATGACTAACCACGCGCTAACAGGAAGGAACGCCCGCTGGGCCATGGGATTGCAAGAGTACCACTTCACCATCAGGCACAGGGCAGGCAAAACCATGCAGCATGTGGACGGGCTGTCGCGAAACCCGCCGACTCACCGCCCCACGGCATTCCTAGTGGCACTGGCGAGAGAAATTGGCGCAGAGGGAGCCAGTCGCGGAAAAGGAAAGGGGCCAGCTGATGTCCAGGAAGACCAAGAGGTCTTGGACTGGGTGCAAGGAAAGACGGCAGAAGGGACCACCGTTGGCGAGAGAGCTAGAGCCCGGGGAGCCCATTACCGATGGCATCAAGAGCAGCTGCTGAAGAATGCTAAGGACGGGTGGAAGCTGGTCCCACGGCCACGGGAGCGAGAGCAGATCATCAGCACGGTGCATCGGCAACTAGGGCACTACGCGAGCCTACGCACCGCCCAGCTGGTGGAGACGGGGTGGTGGTGGGACGGGATGCACAAAGGAATCAGAGAGTGGGTGGACAGGTGCGAACTGTGCAGCCGAAACAAAGCCGAACTAGAACGTGGCAGGAAGGAGTTGCAGTCGCTACCCATCCACTGGATCGGATTCAGGTGGTCCTTGGAACTGTCGGGAGAAATGCCGCTGAGCAGACGAGGGAAGCGGTACATTCTGATCATGATCGAGCACGGCAGCAAGTGGGTCGAGATGAAGGCCCTTCCCAGCAAGAACTCCGCCAATATAGCCGAGGCCTTCGAGGAACAAGTGCTCGAGCAGTTCCGGGCGTGTGGGGAGGTGCTCACGGATCAGGGGACCGAGTTCATGGGGGAGTTCGACAAGCTGCTGCAAGCCACCGGTATCACCCATAGGAGAACCTCACGCTATCACCCGCTAAGTGATGGGCTCACTGAACGATTCGTACTGACTGTCAAACGGGGACTGCGGGCGTACGGGGAACGCTTCAAGAGAGATTGGGACGCGCGGTTACCATGGGTGGCAGTGGGATATAGATTCAGCAAACAATCTGCATTGAGGGATCTGTCGCCCTACTACCTCCTCCTGGGGCGAGAACCCGTGTTACCAGTGGATGCACCCAGGATATTCACGGGGTCGGTGCAGGTGGACAGTGATGCCGATTGGGTGGGGTTGGCCGAGGCTAGAGCACAGTACCTGAGAGAGCTATTGTCAACAGCACTGGAGAACCTACACGTGGCGCAGCTGAGAGATGCGCAGCGGTACAAGAAGAGGGGGGAAATGCAAGCAAGAACAAGGGACAGGGCCCTGGGGGCGGGGGAGGAAGTATACCTGAAGTAGGCCAAACATGACCTGATGGACATCGGGCTGAGCACTGAACGCTGGAAAGTCAAGAAGGTGAAGGATTCTGGTGTGGTCGTGCTCGTGAGCGCGCAAGGGTAGAGGAGAATGGAGCATTACACGAACGTGGCTCGAGCCCGGGGGCAGTCAAAGGGGCAGACAAGCAACCAGCCAGACGCCAGGGAGGTCCAGCGGCAGTCGGCAGGAGCCCACGAACAACCGCGGAGGGGGCAAGTGAGGAGCGAGGCTGGATTCAAGGGAGAGGGCTACAGAGCGCAGAAGGCTGGGAAGAAGACAAGTTGAGCGTCTCATAAGAAACAACACCAAGTCAGGGGCTGAAGGGCGAGGACAAGGCACAGCAGCAGGGCAGTCAGGGGTGGGACAGAGAGACTCCGACAGCTATCACGACTCTAATCTTTGCGTAGGCATTAGATATATCTTCGTGACTATTTAGAATAAAGGACAGCTATAGTAGAGAGGATATTGAGGGAGCCGGCTAGAGTCGAAACAATAGAACCGAAAAACTAGGAATTGGCGGGCGACAGGGGGACCGTTAAAACAACGGTAACCCTTCGCCACTTAAGAAAGTAGGCAAGCTTAGGGAAGATGCTTGAGTGATTGTTTTCACATTTATGCTTACAAACTTCTGATCTCCCTCAGCGAAGGATAAGCACGAGGAACCACCCCACGCAAGCAATCTAGCCTACCGCTAACAACTCTCCCACCCAGCCGATTTAGGGTTTGAACACCAGTACGGCTGGAGCAGAGGACTTTTCAAGTGAGGAGCGAGGCTGGATCCAAGGGAGAGGGCTATTGAGCACAGAAGGCTGGGAAGAAGACAAGGTGAGCGTCTCAGACGAAACAACACCAAGTTAAGGGCTGAAGGGCGAGGATAAGGCACAGCAGCAGGGCAGTCAGGGGTGGGACAGAGAGATTCCGACAGCAGCTCTGCTCCAACCTTGGCAGAATGATCTCCTTGCTCCCCCTTGCCTTCGACATGGAAGAACTGGCCCGCGATGCGCTCCTTCTACTTCTCAGCAGCGCCGTTGCCTTTTGGGTTGTCGTCGTACGAATCAGCAACCATGTTCGCGCCGTTTTCCTCGTTCCTCCACGCACCACCATCCTGGTGACGATTCTGGGGGGTCCAACCTTCGGGGTTCTTATAACATTAGAACCAATGATGCCCCTCCTTCTACCAGCAACCCCCTTTCATTTTGCCACCAGCACCAGACTTTCCCCCACGTCCATATTTCGCACCGCGACCCCAACCGACACCCCATGTTGGTCGTTGGAGTCATCGTCCTTCTTTGCACCGAGGCCAGCACCACCAAAGCCACGTCCTGTGCCACGTCTGCTCCCTTGCATCCCGTAGCCATTGCTGCCGTCGTCTCCACCCCTCAGTTGGCTGCGACGGAAGTCCTCCTCCATAATCTTTTTTCGCACCCACTCGAGCGTCCAGGAGCTCTAGTTCTACGACAGACTTGATCCGATCGTGAATTGAAGCCACGATTCAGGCAGCAGCGACAGCATCATCAAGCACTTGATCTGCTCTAAGTAGGTGATCCCCGCGGTGGCCAACTTCGCGTAGAGGTTGTGCATCTTGTCTAGGACAAGTTGCACCGGCTCTCTCTCGCTCGGGCGCAGCCTGGACATCTCCCTCTCCAGCATCAACGTTGCGATAACGGAGGTCGGGGCGTGCAGCTTCTTCAGCACAGTCCACGCCTTCGGTCCGCACTCAACCTCCGGCAGCAGGCGCGTGACGTGGTGACGCTAGTACAGCTCCAAACTCTGCAACATCAAATAGTAGCCAGCCGAGGCGAGCTCGTCCCAATCTTCCTGCATCACGGGGTTGTCAGAACATTATAGCTTATACATTTGTGAAGGCTATAGTGGGGTAGCCCATAAGGGGTACAACCCAATTAGGGTTAGTACTTGTACCCAACTGTTTCATAGTTCATTCATTCTCTCATTCTAATCTTCACATGGTATAGAGCTGGTTCCCTCGTGGGAACTGTTCCTAGGGCCCACCGACTTTTATTTTTTTCCTGCCCAAAGCACGCTTGGCCCCAGCCCGAGTCGCGCCCCATGTCGTTCCCCCTCTAGCGGCCTCTAGCGGCCCCTTTTACGGCCCCTAACGGCCCCGTCGCGCCGCCCTTGCGGCCCCGTCGCGCCGCCCTTGCGGCCCCATTGCGCCGCCCTTGCGGCCCCGTCGCGCCGCCCCCTACTGCGGCCTCGTCTCCGCCCTTTCAGCGGCCCCAACTTCGCCCTTTCAGCGGCCAAGTCGCCGCCCTTCCGCGGCCTTGTAGACCCCCTTCCACGGCCTTGCCGCGCGCCCTTACAGCAACCCCGTCGCCGCCCTTCCGCGGCCCCGACACCGCCCTTCCGCGGCCCGGTCACCGCCCTTCAGCGACCCCGTCGCCGCCCTTTCAGCGGCCCCGTCGCCGCCCTTTCAGCGGCCCCATTGCCGCCCGCCCTTTCAGCAGCCCCGTCGCCGCCCTTTCAGCGGCCCCGTCGCCGCCCGCCCTTTCAGCGGCCCCGTCGTCGCCCTTCCGCGGCCCCCTCGCCGCCCTTCAGCAGCCCCGTCCCCCCCCCCCCCCCCCCCCCCCCCCCCCTTCCGCGGCCTAGTCGCCGCCCTTTCAACGGCCCGTCGCCGCCCTTTCAGCGGCCTGTCGCCGCCCTTTCAGCGGCCCGTCGCCGCCCTTTCAGCGGCCCCGTCGCCGCCCTTCCACGGCCCCGTCGCCACTCAGCCGCCCAGCGCCCGAGCCGCCGAGCAGCCCAGCAACCGAGCAGCCGAGCCGCCGAGAAGCCGAACCGCTGAGAAGCCAAGCCTTCCGACAGCCGAGCCGCCCGACCGCCGAGCCACCCAGCATCTGAGCCGCCGAGCAGCCAAGCCGCCCGACCACCGAGCCGCCCTGCGGCCGAGCCGTACGACCGCCGAGCTGCCCAGCAGCCGAGCCGCCGAGCTGCACCGCAGCCGAGGCGCTTCCGCCTGTCGACCTGCCCGGGACCACCCCACTTGTCTAGTAAGAGCAGCGCCTCTGCCACTGCACTGCCCTGCCCCACTGTACTCACTACTTGTCTACTGCTGTCATGGCCTCCCCTAGTGTTCTCACCTTTGACGCTGAGGGTCGGGCAGTTGACTTTGAGGTCTGGGTAGATGATCTGCAGCTTTTCCTCCAGTGCGATAGGGCAGATGGTCTCTCCCTGTTTGACCTCACTTCTGGTGCCTCTCCTGCCCCTGCTGCTGATGCGGACGCCACTGTTCACTTACAGTGGGCCACGTGTGATGCTGCTGCTCGCCTTGCTGTGCGCCGCCACTTACCGACCACTTAGCGTGCACACTTTAGCCTGTACAAGAGTGCTCAGACCTTGTACGACGCTGTAGTTGCACGCTACTCTTCCCCTGCCACTTCTACACTGAGCCGCCTCATGCTACCGTACCTCTTCCCTCACCTTGCTGCCTTTCCGACAGTCGCTGACCTCATTACGCACCTCCGCACTAGTGACACTCGCTACCGCGCTGCGCTTCCTGCTGAGTTTTGCGCCAAGAACCCCCCCCCCCATGTACATCACCCTACACTACATAGTCACCCGGCTCCCTGACCCTCTACGCGTAGTCAAGGACCACTTCCGCTCAGTTTGCCCCACCACTCTCACAGTTGACCTCCTCGAGAAGGCACTCCTAGCGATAGAGAAGAGCATAGTCGCTATAGGAGCCTCCCGTGGTGACCCTCGCACCCCCGTCTTTGAGGGGTGTTCTCCCTCCCCCCTCTTGCCCTCTATTGCCTCTACTGCTAAGGTCGACCTTGTTGGTTTCGAGTCGGTTGGCACTGCGTCTGCCCCAAGCGGGAGACGCCGCACCGGCAAGGGCAAAGGGGGCAAGGGCGCTAGAGGGGCTGGAGGGGGCGGTGGAGGTGGTGGTGGAGGCAGTGGAGGGAGTGGGGGTGTTGGTGGGAGTGGTGCCAGGGGTGGCGGCGGCAGCGGCAGCAGTGGAGGCGGCGGAGGCGGTGGTGGTGGCGGAGGGAGCAGAGGCGGCGGAGGTGGCGGAGGAGGCGGAGGTGGCGGAGGAGGCGGAGGTGGAGTAGGCGGCGGAGGCGGCGGCAGCGGCGGCGGCGGTGGCGGAGCGGGTCGCGACTCTGCTCAGAGAGTGGCTCCGGTGGTGGTCCGCGCCAGCAGCAACGGAGTGGTGTGACCCTCTCCCCTCAGCAGCTTCGTGAGTGGTACACCGCGCGTCAGCGCGGTGGGGGTTTTGGTCCCTGCATTTACGTCCTCCGTACCGGCGACCGAGCTGGTGAGCAGTGCGGAGGCCCGCACTCCACCCTGCGCTGCTTCGGTCGCGTGACGGACGCGTGGCGTCGCCAATTCTCTGAGGTGTCAGAGATCCCTCGCTGGGGAGATCTGTCTAGAGCGGGGGTTGCAGTCTTTGATCTTGACTATGATGCTATCCTTGCTGCCATGCATTGTGTGACTACTAGTGTTGAGGGTGACTGTTACCTGTGTGTACCGCCTGACCCGGGCATTGAGGCCACTGCTCTAGGTGCTGGTGAGGCTGCTGCTCTAGGTGCTAGTGTGTCTGCTGCCCCAGGTGCCAGTGCGTGTGCTGCCCCAGGTGCAAGTGCGTCTGCTGCCCCAGGTGCTGGTGAGTCTGCTCTCTCAGGTACTAAGTCGGCTCAGGCCTTCCACACCTTCACCCTTGACTCGGGTGCGTCCCGCTCCTTCTTTTGAGACCGCACCACTCTTTTGCCGCTCAGTCGGCCGGTTGCAGTCTCCCTTGCAGACCCCTCTGGGGGTCCTGTCCTTGCTAGCTTCTCCACTGTCCTACCGTGCCCGGCAGCCCCCTCTGGCACCCTGTCACGTCTCTACCTCCCCTCGTTCTCTACGAACTTGGTGAGTGGAGCGGACCTACAGGATAGGGGGGTTGATCAGTTCACTCCTGCGAGTCAGCGAGTGACTCACTGCACGTGTGCTCGGACAGGCCGACACTTGGCCACGTTCACCCGTCGGCCAGGGTCGAGCCTGTACACCCTTACTACTGAGTCTCCTCCGGCTGCTGAGTCTGCCCAGGTAGATGCGTCGAGTCAGGTGTTTGCTGCAGCGTCCAGGTCTGGTCCTGAGTCTGCTCCTTGCTCGTGTCGTCTGCTGTCCCACCAAACTCTCCTTTGGAACCACCGCCTTGGTCACCCCTCCTTGCCTCGTCTCCGAGGCATGGTCTCCCGTGTCCTTGTCTCTGGTCTCCCTCGGTCTCTCCATCCCCTACCTCCGGGGCCTAGCCCTACCTGCGTCCCCTCCGTTGAGGGGCGACAGCACGCCGCCCCTCACTCCTCCGAGTTTCCTCCTCCGAGTTGGTCCTGCTGGAGCTGCTGGCGGTACTGGTGCTATTGGAGCTGGAGCTGCTAGGTGTGTTGGCGCTTGTGCGTCTGGGGGTGCTGCTGAGGCTGCTAGAGCTGACGGTCCTACTAGAGTTGGTGCTGCTGGAGCTGGAGCTGCTGGGGGTGTTCGCGCTGGTGGTGCTGCTGGCGCCGGTGCGTCTGTGGGTGCTGCTGAGGCTACTGGAGCTGACGGTCTTACGGGAGTTGGCGCTGGTGGTGCTGCTGGCGCTGGTGCTTCTGAGGGTGCTGGAGTTGGCGCTGGTGGAGCTGGAGGTACTGCTGGCGCTGGTTCTGCCGCTGGTGGTACTCGTGCCGTCCTTGCTGGTTCTGGAGGCGCTGAGTGGCCGAGGCCGTACTTCGTTCCGCTCCTAGAGCAGGTTCTTGGTCTTCCGCCCTCTCGTGGTCCTGCTCCTTCCTTAGAGTCTCCACAGCCTGTCCAGTCGTAGTCACAGTTACAGCCCGCCTCCCCTCTACCTGCTCCTTCTCCCTACACTGGTCCTACAGGAGGTCTTGCTTTGCGTCGCGAGCCTGCGTCTCGTCTTGCGTCGCCTGTTCGTGCTGCTCGCACTAGTCGTCGTGCTGCGCGTCCACGTCCTCCTGCGATCCCCAGCACACACCAGACGGCACTGTGTCCTTCCACTGCCCCTCTGCGTGTCCCGTTGCCGTCTCCTCCAGAGTCCTCTCTTCCTACTCTTGCTGACACGGAGTCTGACTCCCTTCTTGCTGCTAGTCCTTCGGTCACGCGCCTTTTTGCTACCGTTCTCTCTGACCCTTCCTTTTAGTCCACTGGTGCGTCTGCCCTAGTTGCTGAGCTTGACGACTTCGCTGCTTGCTCTCATCAAGACTACGCTGCTAATCACGTTGCTGAGTCTGAGTCTGTCTGTCCTCCGTCCGTCGAGGGTGAGTGTGCTCTTAGCACGGACGTCTTTGAGGACAGGCAGGAGGAGTTCCATTGCTTTGATGCTGCTTTGCCCCATCTCGTGTCCACGCTGATTGCCCCTGAGGAAGACTCCTGACTCCTCGATCGTACGCTGAGGCGATTGAGGGTCCCTACTCCTCTCATTGGCAGTCAGCCATGGACGCAGAGATGGCTTCGTGAAAGTCCACACGCACCTACGTCGACGAGGTTCCCCCACCTGGGGCGAACATCGTTAGTGGCATGTGGATTTTCAGGGTGAAGCGGCCGCCGGGTTCTCCGCCTGTCTTCAAGGCGCGTTACGTGGCTCGAGGCTTCAGTCAGCGGCAGGGAGTTGACTACTTTCAGACCTTCTCTCCCACCCCGAAGATGACCACTCTTCGGGTGCTGCTACACATAGCCGCTCAGCGCGACTACGAGCTTCACTCTCTTGACTTCAGCACACCTTTCCTGCAGGGCAACCTGCACGAGGAGATATGGCTGCGCCGTCCTCCTGGCTTCACTGGGTCGTTTCCTCCTTGTACCCAGTCGAGCCTCCGGCGGCCTGTCTATGGTCTCTGCCAGGCGCCCCGTGAGTGGCACAACACACTGAGGACTACACTTGCGGCTCTTGGGTTTGCTCCTTCTACTGCCGACCCGTCGCTGTTTCTGCGCACCGACACCTGTCTACCGCCGTTCTACATCCTCATGTACGTCGACGACTTGGTCTTTGCTACTGCTGACACTACTGGACTCGCCCATGTGAAGTCTGAACTGCAGAAGAGACACACGTGCATAGACCTGGGTGAACTGCGCAGCTACCTTGGCTTGCAAATCACCCGGGACAGAGCACAGCCCACCATTACCCTAACTCAGTCACACATGGTTCAGCAGGTCCTTCAGCACTTTGGCTTCACGCACTCCTCGCCTCAGGCCACTCCTCTGTCTACTCGCCACTCGCTCTCAGCTCTGCCTTCAGATGAGTCCGTAGAGCCGAGTTGCCCGTACCCAGAGCTTGTTGGCTGCCTCATGTACCTGATGACCTGCACACGACCTGACCTTGCATACCCTCTTAGCATCTTGGCACGCTATGTTGCTCCTGGGAGACACCGACCAGAGCACATGGCTGCAGCGAAGAGGGTGTTGCGCTACGTGTGCAGTACGTCGGGCATGGGGCTAGTGCTTGGAGGGCGACGTCGAGTGGTCCTCATCGGTCACGCTGACGATTCTTGGGCTGATGACCAGGCTCTGCAGCGGTCGTCACAGGGTTACACCTTAAGCCTTGGCTGCGGCTCTGTTTCATGGCGGTCTACCCGCTCGTCTTCTGTTCTCAGCTCCAGCTGTGAGGCTGAGATCTACGCAGGGTCCATGGCTGCACAGGAGCTACGCTGGCTCATCTACCTTCTGACTGACCTAGGAGAGCCGCCTCGTTCTCCTCCAGTTTTGTACGTAGACAACAAGGCCATGCTGGCCTTATGTCGGGAGCACAGACTGGAGCACAGAACGAAGCACATTGCTCTCCGCTACTTCCTAGCTAGTGAGCTGCAGCAGCGTGATCAGCTCCGCCTCACCTACGTGGCCTCTGAGGCCAACACTGCTGATATCTTCACCAAGGCCCTTCCGCCTTGTGATCATCAGCGCTTCTGTACTTTGCTAGGTCTTGTGCCTACCTGGCCTCACTTGCTCACTTCTTGATCTTGTTTGTACTGTACTCTTTCTATACTTGCACTTACTTGTTTACCTTTATATATATGATCCTGCATGTGAACTGGCCTTGTGTCCTTACTCTTGTGCTTGGACTGTGTGGTGACTTTGTGATCCACCCTGAGTTTGCTTTGCTTTGCTTGACTGGTCTTGTGACCACTTGTTCTCCCACACTTTGCCTATGGGGGTGTGTCCGAACATTATAGCTTTTACATTTGTGTAGGCTGTACTGGGGTACCCCATAAGGGGTACAACCCAATTAGGGTTAGTACGTGTACCCAACTGTTTCATAGTTCATTCATTCTCTCATTCTAATCTTCATAGGGGTCACTCAATCTAGGTTCCTCCCCAATCATTAGTTTGAGAAAACGGATTTGACAGAATTAGAGTTGCATTTTTGCAGCCCAATCATCATAGCCCTCACCATTGAACTTCTCAACGGTGAAGTTTTTCAGCACCTCCTTTATCTGCGAGCCCTGGTTTGTTCGCGCTCCCCTTGGCACCAAAACACCAAAATCTTGGCTGCTGCTACGATCTTGGGCTGAATATTCATCAGCTTCTGCCAAGGTATTGCCACCATAGCTACATATAACGAGGATCACTAGAACGAAGCTCTGATACCAGCTTGTTGGTGTAAGGGCCTAATAAACTCAGGTTAGAAAAACTTAATTAAACTTGAAACCTCTCCTCAGGGTTACCTCCAAGGGTCCTTGGGTGCCTGGTACAAGGCTATCCGCTATCTACGGATCCGAGTTTGTAGAGAAAGGAGTCAAGATTATCTTAGCCAAATAACAAGAGTACATTGTACATTGCAAAGCGTGTCGTGCATACAGTCAATCAGATTCAGCTGAGAAATTTTTATATCGAAGCTCGCTCCAAAAGTTTTTGAATGAACCAAGTTGCCTCATGAAAAAATATGCAATTATGTGTGAAAGAACAAGGAATGAATGAACTAGGAAACAGTTGGATACAAATGTGAAACCCTAGAAACGTGTACCCCTTAGAGTCTACCCCACTACACCCTACACAAGCTAAGTCATATATATCTGACACACCCCCATAGGCAAAGTGGGGGAGAACTAGGGGTCACAAGACCAGTCAAGCAAAGCAAAACAAAGCAAGCTCAGGGTGGATCACAATGTCACCACACAGTCCGAGCATAGGTTCAAGGCCACAAGGCCAGTTCACATGCAGGAATATATATAAAGGTAAACAAGCAAGTGCAGGTATAAATAGATCACAGTACAAGCAAGGTCAAGAAGTGAGCAAGTAAGGCAAAGTAGGCACAAGACCTAGCATCGTACAGAAGCGCTGATGATCACAAGGCTGAAGTGCTTTGGTAAAGATATCAGCAGTGTTGGCCCGAGAGGCCACGTGAGCAAGGCCTAGCTGACCACGCTGCTGCAGCTCACGAGAAAGAAAGTAGCGAAGAGCAATGTGCTTCGTTCTGTGCTCCCGACACAAGGCCAGCATGGCCTTGTTGTCTACGTACAGAACGAGAGGAGAACGAGGCGGCTCTCCAAGATCGATCAGCAGGTAGGTGAGCCAGCGTAACTCCTATGCAGTCATGGCCCCAGCGTAGATCTCGGCCTCACAGTTGGAGCCGAGAATAGAAGACGAGCGGGTAGACCGCCACGAAACAGAGCCGGAACCAAGGCTGAAGGTGTAACCCTGTGACGACTGCTGCGTAGCCTGGTCGTCAGCCCAAGAAGCGTCTGCGTGACCGGTGAGGACTACTGAACGCTGCCCTCCAAGCACTAGCCCCATGCCTGACGTACTGCACAAGTAGCGCTACACCCTCTTCGCTGCAGCCATGTGCTCTGGTCGGTGTCTCCTAGGAGCAACATAGCGTGCTAGGATGCTAAGAGGGTATGCAAGGTCAGGTCGAGTGCAGGTTATCAGGAACATGAGGCAGCCAACAAGCTCTGGGTACGGGCCACTCGGCTCTACGGACTCATCCAAAGGCAGAGCTGAGAGCGAGGAATGAATGAACTAGGAAACAGTTGGATACAAATGTTAAGCCCCAGAAACCTGTACCCCTTAGAGTCTACCCCACTACAGCCTACATAGGCTGAGTCATATATATCTGACATTATGAACTTGTGGCTCGGACAGCGTTGAACTAGCGTCGTAGTGCTAGCGTACTAGCATTGACTCGGTAGCATTCCACCATCGTACCGCGTAGTAACGAAATTCCAGCAAGAAAGGAATTTGCTTGAATCAAATTTACTGTATCTAGGTACCAACAGAGAAGGAATAAATAGCTCTAGCTAGAAAGGACCGTGGGAATCAACTTGGGAACAACCTGGGATAATCACAAATATTT